TGCTTTTGTCCTGTCCATGTTGGAGAAAATAAAAGACGGTGGCGACTCTTGCTTCCGCGACATTTCGCGAACCAGCGTTAAACAGTCAGTTCTAAATCCACCGATCACACCATGTCACAGTCTCAGATGGATTTGGTTTCTTTTGAAGATATTTGAACATTTCTTTGCAAGTGAACCACCAAGGGTATGGAGGAAACCAAGCCAGAGCCAGTTCTGAGGTAGGCAATCTAGGAAATTTAGGTGGATGCATTTCGAATGCCAACCTATACCTATCCTCAGGTGACAACCCTGAAGGAAGTTTTAACTTAGAAACTTTTTCTTTAAATTTTTCCTTCAAGGTCTCAGCCGCTTGATGCACAGTGGATTCCAAGTGTGTAGGATCATAAGTAGTTTCGAAATAATTTTGAAAAGCCCTAATCTCTTTGGCATGAGTGAACATACCTTTCTTGGATTGTACCTGCACATCGAATGCATCAGTTAGTTTCTGTTGAATAATGAGGGTATCGAACATATAAGACTGATAGAACTTTGTCCACCATTCCAGAAAACCCTTTGCTGTGAGGTGTGTAGGTTCGAAAGATATTAGTTCAAAGTGGGCAAAGCCTTGGTATTGTTCCTGTTGTAGTTTGGCTTCTCTTGCCTTGAAGGTTCGCCCAGAGGTGATGGCACTTTCTATTTGGAATAGGGGTTCAGGGATTAGTTGGCACAATCCAAATTGTCTCGAAACGAAGTTGGGTTGATAAGCAAAAAGGAAGATTTGATTCTTAGCAGGAGTAATTCGTGAGGAGATTAGTCTGGGAAGCAAAAAGGCTTTCCATACATCTTGGATTTCTTTGCTTTTGATTGCTTCTGAGAGAGCCATGGTGAACCATGAGGGTCCATGAGTCCTTGAAGCAAAAGGCGCCATGGTCTCTTCGAATTTATGCCTCTTGGAGAAAATCATGATATATTTTGAGAAGAGAACTTTGAAGTCATCTTTGTCATCGTTTGGGGTAAGTCTTCACAACCTAGTACCTTCGATGATTCTATCCACTATTTCCGGATCTTGTTCAGCAATAGTGTTGGCAGTTGATAGTGAAGGTTCAAACATGGCATTAAGCCATAACTGGAGTAACCAGAAAGGGCCAGCTAGCAGGATGTTTTTGGAGGTGTGAGATTTCAAACTCGAAACAGCTGACCTTAGACTTTCGTAAAGATCAACGAGTAGCAGTTCGCTTAAACACACCCTCCGATTCTCATGCAAATCTCTAGCTAGAGGAATAAACCTACTGGCTACCTGTAGGGATCTGCTGCAAAAGACATACCTTGACAACCATAAGGTAAGGAAAGCAATGTGTTCCACATCCGACACACTGTCTCCTTCAGTGTGATAGTGGCTAATGAACTTCGAAAAGCTGGATAACTTGACTTCGAAGTCAATAATGCTCGAATGCTCTTCATTGTCAGGAATATAGGTTTCTCCTATTGGTGATAACCCAGTAATGGCTGCTATGTCAAAAAAGGTGGGTGTAATCATTCCACCAGGGAGATGGAAAGTATTGTAAGTACTGTCCCAGAAATATAAGGACGCGAATAATAATGGGTGGCTATAGGTAAAGCCTGGTTTTGATAGTTTAATCAAGTTGTAAATGCCTAATTCTTCCCATTGCTGGGATTTCTTAGCTTCTACTTTAGTAAACCAGTTGTGGTAGGCTGTGTCAGAGGTGGGGCAAGATCGAAATGGTTTGAAGTTACTCTTCACATAATCTAGCACAAAAGGGTCCTTAGGGGGAATGATTGGATTTTCCACGGTGGTCGAATCAGAAGACTCCCCCGTCTTAGAGGTATCCATTTTATTAAACAAAGGTTTAAAATTATAACAAACAGGGAAACATTTTCTAGTGTCTTTTAAGATTTCAAAGACTGTAAGAGGGCCCATTAAAGCTAACCTCTTGCCAGCGGCGTTAGTAGGAATTAGTACCTGAGATGCGTAAAGCATTTCCTTCTCTTTTGAGATCATCTGGGGAATAAGCACAGACTGACCTTGGTAGGTGCCAACCTTGCTTTCCATTATGGTTCTTGTGTTCTTTCCTTTCTTTTTGGAAGCTTTTTTCAGTTGAGATGAAGTTGAAGAAGATATTGTTGGAAGAATGTTGGAAGTTTAGGGTTTCAGTGAGAAGAGAGGAAGAAAAAATTCAGAATGTGGGAAGAAAAGAAAAAGACTAAGTTGATGGGTTTTTATAGTGTGGAAGTTTAAACATCCACTGAGTAAGATTGTGATACGTGGTAGTCGTGGGTTGGTTTGAGAAGGAGGTGGCGTAAAGTTAATATTGGTAATAGGCGTGATTTAATAAATAATCATTGTTGTGTAACTGCACCATGCTGTGAAACGGTTCAAGACGGTTAAGGAATCTGAAAAGCGTTGTGATTGACATGACTGGAGTCATATGCAATAAATGTTACGATGATTCAAAGGTCGCATCAAAATCTTGTGTATATGTTTAAAATAAGTATTTCTCAAAGGAATCGAAATACATATTTTAAAGGGGCATTTTGTTGGCTGAAGATTTTGATGATATTGTTCGAAGCAAAGCAAGTTGGATGTTTCGATTGGAATAAAGCAAGATGTCATGTTTCGAAATGGTAGAAGCAGTACTTCGAATGGGCATATCAAAGCTTGGAGCTTCGAGTGACAGTTATGAGGATATCTTCAAAAGAAGTCTCGAAGTGATAACAAGGCTGTGTCCAAGAAATGCGTTTGAAACGAAGAAGTGCCAAAACATTTGAAATTCAAATGCAAGCGGGATGTTCGAAATTTAAAATATATGCACTGGAGCATTTGAAGACGCGTGGAAGCTAGAGAGAGGCATTGCTTTGCATGTTCTGAACGTGGCAGAATCTTATAGCAAGACCGTTATGGTCGAAGTAGTATAAATAGAAGTCTTAGCATTAGGATTTCGTGTGTCATATCTATTGTACAAAAAACTCAGTAAACATTCAAAATACCACATGGCTAGGGAAACGAATGCACGAGCAATGTACGTATGATAACACCAAGTGTTTATGATTTAATAAAACTCTTTATCATTTCCAGTCTTTTACTCTATCTTCATGTCAATATCATTCAAAAGCTTTTACATTCAAACATTTTCATTCGAAGTCTTTTTACTGATGTCTTACATTTAAATGTTTTCTTTCCATTTCAAATCCTTTACATTTCAGAAACTTTTGTATATTTCATGTCTTTATCTTCATGCTTTTATCATTCGAATACCTTTTCATTTAAAGTCATTTTACTGATTTCTTGCATTAAAACGCTTTCTTCATATTTCGAATCTTTTACATTCCAGAAACGCTTTTACATTACATGCTCTTATATTTCGAAGTCATTTACTTGTCTTTTCTGCAGTTTTACATGTCTTTACAATTGAACTTTATTCATGCAATTTAGTTTCGCACGCATTTACTTGATCATGTCATTAGATCTTTAATAGAGTAATCGAAGTAAGTTGAACACCTACACAACATTCTAAATACCAACCATGAATACCAGTTCTATAATGAGAGTTATCCAAATGACCAATACATCCTAGGATCAATCTAGTCGATCCTGCGAGTTACCAGAGAGATTAAATAACAGTCATTAAGATTATTTGATAGTTTGAAGGACTAGCGGTTGTTTACCAGAAATCACTGTAAACAATAGGACATGATAGAATTAGTTTTACATTTGACTCATTCTTGTTTTCAGTTCACGTTTCCTAAGTTTATGGGAGAAGTGGCTTTAGTTTAGATTTTCAGTTTCTTTGTAAAGCTATTTAATAGCTTCAGTTGGTTACTTTCAAAACAACAAATATAATTACATTTGTGCAATTTTCTATTGTGTTCATTATTAACAATCCCTTTGTTCTTCTTTCTAGAATTAATAACTCTAATATCAATATATTATTCAGATCATTGAATAAATCACATCATAGTTATTAGTATTCTATCCGTCCTAAAATATATGTTATATTTAATATTTTCGCATATATTAAGAAAATATGCTAAATAAAACAGAAAGAATAGCAATTTTAACAAATTATTCTGATTGATTATTAATGGATTCACATTATCATTATTGTAATGTGAGAGAGTAACAAATTAAGAGTATTTAAAAGATATAATTAGAATATAAAAACTAAAATTGTATTAGAAATTAAAAGCAACACATATTTTGAAAAAAAATATTTATAAATAATGTGAGAGAGTAACAAATTAAGAGTATTTAAAAGATATAATTAGAATATAAAAACTAAAATTGTATTAGAAATTAAAAGCAACACATATTTTGAAAAAAAATATTTATAAATACGACACTTATTTTGAAATAGAGGAGTAGTAAATTTTTGTCGGATTATTTTTATAAACAGAATATCATCTACACCCATGTATAAGTTAACCCTCAAATTAAAAAGAATCATAATAGAAAGCAAAAACTCTTTTTTAATAAATTTAACACTGCTATATCCAAAACTGAGTTTCAATTTCTTATCAAAAATTTGGATGCAATTTATATGGTAGTTTTCATGTAGTTATCTAGATAACCTTAGTTTAAACAAATTTTTTTTATAATAATTTATTTTATTTTTTACATATTACAAATTTTATTTAAAATTTTCAAAAAATAATTATTTCAATTATAAAATTTTCCGGTAATCTCATCAATATCACGGAAACAGATCCTCTAATCTGCTGCCACCTCTCATGTGTAATATTTGACCATTGAATTTAAATCTAATGGTTAAATCTTCTTTCAGCTTTTTCTCTCCTATGTCACAAGATTAGTTTAAAGGCTTAGATTGAAACAGGGAGGGAGAGAAGGAGACACAAAACATGAGAGGATCCAAGTCCCAATATCAGTGATAACATGATCATATTCAACTGCTGAACCAACCTCCCGAACTGGATCCTCAAAATCCTTGTCAGAAACTGAATCGCAACGACGCCGTTTGTATGCTCTTTCTCTTCTTCTTTTTGACATGAAGAAACATTTACTAAAACCAATAACAAAACCACCACCACCAATCCTCAACCCACCACAACCACCACCGCAACCAAACCCACCTTTCTTCCCTCCCACCCTCTCCCCCACCCAACACTACACCCACTTCCTCCACTTCCTCAACACTCACCTCACCCCTCCCCTCACTCCACAAACCCTAACCCATTTCCTCAAATCAAAGCTCCACCACCACCCTTCTTTCACTCACTACGATTTCCATCTCTTCAATTGGGCGTCAACCCTCGACACTTTCTCTCACAACCACACTTCATACGAATGGATGACACAAACCCTCGCTATCTCTCATCGTTTCTCTCTCCTCCGTACCCTCCTCAACTTCATCTCCTCCAACCCTTGCACCTGCTCCCACGCCATTTTCTCTTGCCCCAAAACCGAATCCATTTTCCGTTTCGCAATTCATGCTTACTGTAAAGCCTCCAACTTCGACGATGCTCTTTTTGCATTTAACTCTATGCGGAGGTTAATCGATGGAAAACCAAGTGTTTCTTTATGTAATATTTTGATTCATGGGTATGTTAAATCCGGGAGATTTGATAGAGCTTTTGAGTTTTACAATGAGATGATTAAGGATAGAGTTAAGCCGGATGTGTTTACTTTTAATATTTTGATTAGTGGTTATTGTAGGAATTTTAAGTTTGGTTCTGCATTGGAGATGTTTGATGAAATGCGGAGAATGGGGTGTCATCCGAATGTTGTTACTTTTAATACTTTGATTAAAGGGTTGTTTAGGGAATGTAGAGTTGATGAAGGGATTGGAATGGTTTATGAAATGATTGAATTGGGGTGTCAACTTTCTAATGTTACTTGTGAGATTTTGGTTGATGGGCTTTGTAAGGAAGGTCGGGTTTTGAAGGTGTGTGAGTTGTTAATGGAGTTATCTAAGAGAGAGGTTTTACCTAAAGGGTATGATTATTTTGTTTTGGTGGAAGTTTTGTGTGGGAATGGAGATGCTTTTAAAGCTTTGGAGGTTATTTATGAGTTGTGGAGTAAAGGTTGTGTTCCTAGCTTGATTTCTTGTATTGTGATGATTGATGGTTTGAGAGGATTAGGGAAGATTGAAGAGGCAATGAGATTGGTGGAAAAAATGCTTAAAGAGGAGGGTATGGTACTTGATGTTGTGACTTTCAATTCTGTTCTTCAAGATCTTTGTGATGTGAGAAGGACTGAAGAAGCCAATAGGTTGAGATTACTTGCTTTGAGCAAGGGTTTGGAACCCGATAGCATGACTTATCAAATTCTGGTTACTGGGTACAGAGGAGAGGGAAATCGAGCGGATGGAGAGTTAGTAGTAGATGAAATGTTGGATAAGGGGTTTATACCTGATCTTGCTTCATATAATAAGCTGATGGATGGACTATCTAATTGTCAACGCCTGAAGCGTTATCAAATGAACAAAATTGTAAACTGAAAATGCAAACAAGATGAGATTTAACTTGGTATTCGAGTATGACTCTTGCTTGGGCTGAGATGATTGTGGTTTGATTGAGAAATGAGATTGTAAAAAAATCAAATGATTGATACAAGTTGTTTTGTGCCACAATGAGGATAGCTTGCAAATTCACTTTGAAGATGGTTGGTGCTCTAAATTCCCATGTTTTAAAAATCATTTGATTATCAAGATTATGTTTTCTAGATGCTAGTGAACGCTGTTATTGTAAGGATTCAAATTGGATTGAGTTCATGTTTGGTATCGCGGTGGGTTTTCCGAAATCATGGTGGCCATGGTTAAACCAAACATGCAATGAAACTGATACACAAAGTTTGTGTCTTATGTTTGAGTTAAGACATCATTTATGTGTTATCATTATTTAACATAAATCTTAAGTTTGCGTCAACTACACCTTCATTGTAACATTTTTAGGTGTTTTGGTTCTTTCTTTTCCTTTACAATTTCTCTGTTTCATTAGTTCCAATACCCCTACCACATAACCACAGCTGCTTGATAAAGACCAGGGGAGATATCTTTTGTGCCATGCACATTGTTTTGCGGCCTTTTATTTGCAAAAGTAATGCTGAAGTTGAAGTATCTGATGAATATTTTGATGTACCCTATTGAGGCTGAAGGTATCATATTTGTGTTTTATATATTTATGGATTTAAAGGACATGCGTTGTCGGGGTAACCTAGTTTTACATTGACATCCAATAAAACATGTCATCCCATTTTTGCAACTGCATTCATTTTAAAACTAATGGTGTGACATGGAAAGATGGAGTACTTTCATTGGATGTTTGTAAAACTATTTTATTTTTAATGATAGTGTATGTCCATTAAACTCAATATTCTTTTGCATGGTCAATTTAATGACAGTAGTGTAAAATTTTGAAGGCATGTTTTTTGAGCATTTGACCGTTCTCAATTGTTTTTCTCCCTTGCAGGCTAACATAACAAGCTCTACTAATGAATCTACTTAATTTTAATATGTTTGTTTATAGATCTCCTTGAATCTTTTTACTTGCCTTAATATCATAAGTTGAAGTATAATGTGATACTTTCTTTCCAATAATAATGAGATGTATTGGAGTTACGTTAAAGGCAATAGACCATTAGCTCAGCTCACAGATTTACATCGTAGAGATACTAAATGGAGAAAAAGATAAAGTATAGACAATTTGCATCTTCTCTCGAGATTTGGTCTAATTTGAACCACAGTTTGTCTTGATGGTTTTATCTTTATTGCCTGCAAATTGGCCTCCCAAAAATTACACAGTAGAACATATTACTAGACATCAGTGGCTGTTTGCTTTAATAGTTTTATCATTATTCCAGAGACTCATAAGCATTTGACAGAACATGAATAACTTGATAGTCTATTATAATAAGGATATCTATTCACCTAGTTGCTTAATTTTTATAAGTAGGTTTTCAGGAAACAAACTTATATATATTCACCTAGTTGCAATATATATAAAGAATTAACATATTATCTGCTGCTATTTTTGTTTAATAGATAGTCCATAACTACATTTTAAAATATTTTTATGTTCAGTACAATTACTTTCTTAGGTTTATCTTTTGTTTCTCTTCTTTTGTGCTTTGGATATTGATCGTAACTGACCAGAAGAGATTGTCAAAGCCTTCAAGCTTCGAGTCGAATAGCAGTTGAAGGTGAAGTGGGGGGTACCTGCAAGACACTCTGATGCCAAAATGAGGTTCAGAGCTAATGCAAGCAAGTGAGTTGTGAATGAATCAATCCCTGACCCTCTCAAGTGAGAGCGTATTTATAACCCTCGGTGTTGGACCAAGGTCTTCAATGTTGGACCACGATGAGGCCCAACAATGAAGACTGCCAGAATTTATGTGTGTATGGAGTCCAGCACGTGGGTTCCTCCTTGGTCAACTGTTCCGAGAAAACAAATTTTGGACCCGTTATTTCCGGAGGGCAATATGAGTATAATATGGACACATGGGCAACGTCTTCCTAGCGGATACGTGGAGAAATGCCCAACGCTCTCCAGCTTGGGTTGTATGCCTTTGAGCCTTGGGCAAAGGCGCTGAATTGAACCTATCCAACGGCAGGGCAAGTGATGATCCAATGTAGAATAGATACAATTCAGTTTCTCTTGTCATAGTTAAAATTCAACAATTTGTGTAAGTGAAGTTGTGTTGAGTAACAAGTTGCCGTACTCATTGATTTGTCATTGGAATTTCAGGTCCTCAAGCTCATTTCTTGTTGCTCATCTATTATCGCGGGTGGTGCAGCCACTTCACTGCTTTCTTTGATGTACTAGATGTGTTTATTGTGGAATGGAGCTGAATGAATGCTGCAATCTCCTCTTAGGGGTTCTCACAAGCGCATGTATAAAGATGCTCATAAAACTTTAGGCTCCGGCAATCTTATGCATGCTACTAATCCTATATGAAGACTAAGGAATTTTAAGAGCTGACAATGGAAGGGACATTGACCAAGAGGGAATAGTTGAGAGCTAAAGGCACAATTGAAGCTACAAGTTAGCTTTCTTAGTTTTGAATTCAGTGACAAGATGGGTCCACATCATACTAATCTTTTGATCATAGAATTAGTTCAGACTCTCTTTTAATTTTTGTAATAATCATACATTTTTTATTAAAATTGTGTTTGGTTTGTGTGCTGAAGCATTTGGTAGCATATACTGCAGCTTAGGCACCATGTAAGTGTCACTTAGACATCATATATTTCTGTTAGAATGTCTTTATTTTAGACTATATGTGCGGTTTTTTCATGGTATGACATTTCGGCACAGAACAGTTCTGTTCTAATTGTTTATAAGTTCTCACGCACGCAAAAAAGTTAAAAGAAAATCTTAAAAATTATGAGACTATCAATTGTCAAGATCGAGAGGAGAATAACAAGATCGTAAAATATAAAATTATAGATAATATCTAAATCAAAGGTGAGTTTGACTGAGTAAGATATATTCATAAATATTCGGATTAGTAAGTTGGTTTAGTCTAGACTCACAAACACCCTTAAATTTATATACCCATTTGCTGCTGGAGAAATTTGCCGCTGGAGTAGCATCTCGTTCATGCTTTTACTTTTAGTTTAAATACATTTGCTAAAATCAATGAAGAACTCACAAAGAAGAACACATGAGCAACAATTTGAGAAAATGAACTATTAAATGTAACAATGGTAATTTTTTTTAATAAACAGTAACAACGGTATCTGACATCAACCATGCCTTCCAAAGGCATCAAACACACCTTCAATATCTTCAACAGAATGACTACATGAGAATCAAAAGAAACTCATAAGCTAAAAACAGAGGAGAATCAATCAACCAAAATACAAAGCCATTTGAACATCCTTCTGCTTAAACCCACATTTCTCATAGAACACCGCATTCTCAACACTGCAATCAAGAATAACCTTATAGCACCCAACCGAACGCGCATGCTCACTGAGAAACTCAACCACTTTCTTCCCCAATTGCTTCCCCCGAGCACTCGAATCAACAACAACATCTTCAATATGCCCAACTTTACCACAATTTCTTATAAATTTCTTCTCAATAAACACACACCCCGTCGCAATTATCTTTCCAGTAATCTCATCTTCAATTACACCAATAACATGATCATCTCCAAGCAAATCAACCTCCCGAAATCGATCCTCAAATTCCTTATCAGAAACTGAATCACAAACTGTAAGCTGTTGCAGTAACTCTATGAATCCTTTTTTCTTATCAGTAATCTCTAATCTTCGGATTCTAAACTTTTGTTCATAGCTGTTTTGCATTTCTAAACAATCTGCGATTATTGAAATTCAAAATTAAAAAAAAAAAGAAGGAAAATCGCTAGCAATGTGTAGCATTTACAGTTCACAGTATGAATCTCAGATCTGAAACGGAAACAGAAAAAAAAAAACTGAAATAATTTCACAATCAAACAGAGAGATTTGGAAATTTTACACTTACTTGAGTTTTACGATGAATTTCCGATGGATAACGACGCCGTTTGGGGAAAGATAATTTTGCGTTTTGGGTTCCTTTTATGTTCAGAAATTTGTGACGGATTGGTAAAATCTGAGCCGTTTATATTTATTATGATGAGGTGGCGAAATATGGACCGTGAGTTAGGTTGAAATTCGATTTTGAGGTTTTTGTAAGGAAGAGAAAAAAACGAATCAGAGAGAAGATCATAGCGAGAGAGATGCAAACGACGCTGTTTCGACGGCTCGCTCCATCGTTGGCAGCACGATTTCAACGCAACGAGAATCTTATAAGCGCTTTTTCTTCTTTATCTTCTTCTTCGGTTCTTCATCATGCTACGTCTTCGTCGTCTTCTTCTGCTGACGTGGAACCCGTTCACATAACGGAAAACTGCGTTCGAGTATGTTCTTTGTTCTACCAATTGCTTAGTTTTCAATTATTGCTTTGTGATTTTCTATATTACTGATTTTGTGATCTAATTGCATGGTTATGGAATTTACATTAGGTTTTTATCGATGGACCTTATTTATCGGTTATACCGGTTATTATTTATATTCATGTAATATATAACTCAAGAACTATGTGTATTATTACATGTAGTTGGTTCCAACTTTTTTAATTTTGAATTTGTAATAGAGAATTAAGGAACTGGACTCTAATGAACCATCAGCTGCTGGAAAAATGCTTCGGTTGAGTGTAGAAACAGGCGGATGTTCGGGTTTTCAGTATGCTTTTAATCTGGACGACAGAGTCAACTCAGACGATAGGTATTCGAATTTCAATGTTGATATGCTTGCCATATGTTGAAAAACCCTTGGTTTTTGTAAATTACAACGTAGTTTTACTTTAATGTATTGACAGGGTTTTCGAGAAGGAAGGTGTTAAATTGGTTGTTGACGATATTTCGTATGACTTTGTTAAAGGCGCGACTGTTGATTATGTCGAGGAGCTAATCCGTTCGGCTTTCGTAGTAAGTCATGCACACTTGTGAGTTTGAACCATGAATAGGCTGGTGTTTATTGAAAATTAACAACTTAACTATCTTTACATTCTTTCTGTTTCAATTCACATTAACTACAATACAACATGGAAATAATCAGGGAAGAAATTGTTTTGAATGTGTTTTCATTGGAAGTTTTCCTGTGAACTATAGTAGCAATCCACATTCGCATCATGTTATCTTGTTGAATCCTGAAACATTTCAGAACTTCTGATAGAGCTAGAAATGAGAATTGGGATGTTGATGGCGTGTCTAGTCATTCACGTGCTGTTCACAAAAATATGGAGGGTGTCTGTTAGGAAAAATAGGAAGAAAGGAGAGAATGATGAGCCGGCAGTAAAGGGGTGTGATGTGTGTGGCCGAATTCTATTTTATTGGTTTGGGTAGTTGAGAGAGAAGGCATTTTGGAGAATCTAAGAAATTAGTTGCAGAGAATTAAGGAATTCTGAGTCAGTGAGCATAGCTCTCGGGAGTAGCAGGGAGCTTGTTTCTGCTACTCATTTCCTTTGTATCATTCATCAGCCTTAGCATGACCGCTTAACGCAAAATTATAGTCTTTCTGATCAAGTAATTAAAGCCCTTGCTCCTATAATAGAAAGTTGAACAGAACAAGGTTGAATAGGTATGTGTAAATCGAACATGCTTCAAGCCATATTCAGGTTCAGATTTGAATCCGAAGTTGTAAATTTTTAGTATGAACCTGCTCTATATAGAGGTGACTTATTTCGTCACATCCAAGCAATGCATTTAGATTTTAGATGTCTTTGGAGTCTATATAACTTATACATAAACATTTAATTTGTTCATCCAAAATGGGCCTTAGTCTTGCGCCTCATCCTTTTTGGTTGCATATTATGCTGTGAACTATTTTGTGAACTGCAAACCAGCATGTTTCATTTCATTTTGTGTGGATGATGCAGTTTCTCTCCTGATGAAGCTTTTGCTTTGGACTCCTCTCTCCCAAAACCATTCATAGTCACACCTCCATCCAATTCAAACAAAATTAAAGCTACCATTGAGATATGCCTGGAAAATCTAACATTAGAAGTAAATTGTTCATGCATAATAGTGGTCGGAAGGAGGAGCAACTGTAGCACTGCAACCTAAACCAAGCTCACATGTCAATTTTGTAATTTGTTAACATCTTTAAAGCATGATGTGCTCCTAAAACATGTGAAGCACCAAAGATACTTCCAATCTTAAGGTGCATCATTCCATGAACTTTGATTAAAGAATGTTAATAATACACTATTTGACAAGTTTTTTGCTGACACTTTCTCCATTGTTGGGTGATATCACATGTTACTCAAACTAAATAACCTTAGCCCGATCTCTCTATGTGAGATTGGTAAGAGATTTCACCTAATACTAAAGAATATCGAAAAGAGTGGGTAATTAGTGTTTTTCCTTTTGCTTTTGTTATTATTAGCTATCCTATATAATCATAGTTTGCCATAGTGATCCAGTTATTTAGGTAATTATTTTGCACCAAAAAAAAAAAGCTGCTCTTGCAGAATTTCACAATGATGTTGTCTTTTATGTTTGATGGCATCACTTTCATAGTAGAAGAAGACACATTTACACGTCCTTAAAAGTTGTGTGTGCATTCGAACTGAGTTCAAAGTCCTTAGATTGTATGTGAATGAGAATTGTGGACAGAAAAGCGTCGATGTAATTGTGCTTGCATCTGCTCGTTTATAACATTGAATGTCATTCTTAAGACATTTAAACAAAGACAAATCTACATTTATTTACTGGTTTCATTTTCAGGTGACTGAGAACCCCAGTGCAGTTGGCGGTTGTAGCTGTAAAAGTTCCTTCATGGTGAAACAGTAGTTAGCTATCTTGGGACTCCCCCTCCTCAATTTCCTCCACTGCTCAGATATATACTCAGTGAACAAGATTATTATATTATGGATACGATTTTTGTAACTCAAAAAGCAATTGATTAAATTATTGTTTGTATAATGATATCAATGTTACATACAGTTGGTTTACTGGTAATAAATTATCAGGCATTTAGCTTGTACTAATCATTTTTGGTGTATATTACTGATCGTTCGAATATTAAACAAAGCTTGCAAATGTATTTACAATTTGCATTTACAATTTTCATCAACAAGTTGCTTATTTAATGCCATATAATGACAAGGGCATTAGTTCTCACACCTTAGTACATCTCCGGACATACTCATTTTACACCAGAATATATTCTAAGTGAGACACACTCCTATTTTCTCAAAAAACTCAAAAAAATTAGTTCGGAAGTTATCTTCGAACAAATCCCCTTATTGATTTTGAACATTTAACAACTTTGTGCAAATACAGAAATGTAGTTTCAGATTTATCAAGCGAGAATTTGAAAAAAATACCACCTTAAATATATTTTTCAATTAGTGGCTATTCCTGAAGTGCATTTATGGAAATGTCAAGTGGAAAATTTAATAAAACATCACCTTGATGTTTGCTTCACTCATGATCATTCCACCATTTCTTCTTTAAATTCTACCAAAACCTCATTCTACATTCAAACAATATTTTCTTGTTTTTCACATCAAAAGAAGCTGAAATTTAAGGTAATGTACATGTATTTTCTTTCTCACTTATATTAATTTGGTTTTCTGTCTGAAAAAACGAACGTTGCGTTCAAAAATACATTTCCGAATTTTTGTTGAACGTCATCTGTAACTGTATTTATGGATTAGTACAGAGTTGAATTTGGTCAGTTTTTAAATACTTCCTGTTATGATTGACCTTAGGTATAGTCACTCTAATGTTGTCTTCAAACCTATTGTGTTTACGAATGTCAAGGTAGATGTTGGCAAACAATTTACAAATGAACATAAGTTTGTTGTTCGTGATCATATGCTCCAATGGATCCGCACGGAGGTTGTCAATTGGGGTTCAACGTTGTAATTAGAAGGTCCGATAGAAGACAAACATTTGTGACACTAAGATGCGACATAAGTGGCAAGAATACAACTGCTATTCGAAAGTTGAAATTGGGTGACAGAAGTTCAAGAAAATGTGAGTGTCCTTTTAAATTGCGTGTATACCTTATGGTGAATAATACATGGAGATTTAATGTGATTTGTGGTATACATAATCATGACATGTGTCGCAAGTCAGTTAGACATCTTATTACATATCACCTAAAGGCTGGAGAGAAGATAATTATTTCAGACATGATATTGAACATGGTACAACAGTAATATCTCATATTCTCTTAAATACTAATTTCTCATTAAGTGGAATAAATTGAGTAATTACTGTGTTAAGAAAAAACTAAATCTTAATCAAATTCCTAATCCTTATTAATTAGTAAAGGGTAGAGTTTTGGAGATTTAGACAATTTGAAAAGGGTATAATGGTATTGTTCAAATTAGATCCATTAAAGGACTAAAACCTTTACTACTTCTTTCTATTTTCTTTCTTTCCTCAACTCACTTCTCCTTTGTTTCAAAAGATAATAAGAGAAAGAAGAGAAAAGGAAGAGGAAAAAAAAGGAGAAGAAGAAGAAACTCAAGGAAGAATAAGTTATTGGAGCAAGAGTTAGAAATAAAATTCTCATCTCATCTTATTTCAAAATCATCTTCCTTTTTAGAGGTGGGTTTTTAGTTAGTATAGCCTCTGGGGGGAAATTTTCCATGAAATCATGATTAGGGTTTTGGTAAGTCCTTAATTGTTTGTGAAATTGATGATTAAAATATGATTCTTGTATGCTTTGTGCTATTGTTAGTAACTCATTGTCGCGGCGGAAAAATTAAGATTAAGCTATTGATTAATTTAACTCAGAAAAAGCAAGATTCGCCATCAAACTTTATTATTTCCAAATTAATGGAAAAATATCGAGAATGTAGGATATTGGATCGAACACTATTGGGTCGAAGTGTAGCTTCTGGTTTGACAGAATTTATGCATGCCATCAAAGTATGTTCACATGCTGGTGTCAAAGACTTACATACTGTAGTTGAAGTGTGATAGTATATGGGTGTCAAAATGCTAGGGTTGTTAGTATTTCGAATTGGGCCTGTTTGTTATGTCCAATTGTTTAAGTTAGCTTGTACCCTAAGTTAGCTTGTAATGGGTATTTGTGAAAAAGTCTATTATTTTAGTATGTTAGGTTTATTATAAATAACATACTAGTCTCTCATCATTGCATACTGCAAATCCTAATTTAGAGTGAGAGGGTTATTTGTTATTCTTGTGTACTTGTAATATGATTTAAAGAGAAAGTAAAGAATATCAGTTATAACCAATCTTTGTTGTTAATCTTGTTTATCATATTTTTCTACCCTTGAAGGTTTCCCTCTAATAAGGAAATCTATTATATTTTGTTTCCAAGGTATCTTGTTTCACAACAAATTGGTGCGGTGAGCACGGAGGAGATGCCTTCAACAAAGTATGAGATTGAAAAGTTCAACGGAGTGAACGATTTCCGTCTGTGGCGGTTGAAGATGAAAGTCCTACTGGTTCAGCAGGATTGTTTGAAAGCGTTGAAGGGAGCAACGACCATGGATGTTGTGTTAATGGAAAAGGAAAAGACAACCATGATAAAGAAAGTCCACGACACAATCTTGTTGAGTCTTGGTGATAAGGTTCTTCGGCAGGTATCAAAGGACACGACGACATCAGGGTTATGGGTGAAACTTGAAATTTTGTACATGACCAAGTTGCTGGTAAATCGACTCTACCTAAAGCTAGCTTTGTATTCATTCAAGATGATTGAAGACGAAGCATTGGCTGGGAAATTGGATATGTTCAATATGCTAATTCTTGATCTTTAAAATATTGATGTGAAGATCGATGATGAAGATCAAGTGATGTTATTATTGTGCACTTTGCTCAGAACACAAGTTCACTTCAAAGAAACTCTCTGGTATGGAAGGGAGTCCCTGAACCTTGAAGAAGTTTAATCAGCCTTGTATTCTAAGGACTTGAATGAACGAAAGAAGCATAAACCTTTAACAGTTGGTGAAGGTTTGGTTGTTAAAGGAAAATTCTTGCGAATGGATGGTAAGTTCGACAAGAAGAAAGGTAAAAGTCAGCAAAAGTATTACAGTGGCGAAGCATCTAGTATTCGATGCTATCATTGTAAGAAGGAGGGTCACACAAGAAAGGTGTGCCCTGAACACCCGAAAGATCATGGAGGTAAGGATAATGGCAACACAATTATTGTTCAAGATGATTTAGACTCATCTGATGTTCTTATGGTTTCGAGCAACAACTCGTCAAAGGAGTGAATATGGATTCTGGGTGTGCTTGGCACATGACTCCAAGCAAAGACTTGTTCGAAAAGTTATGTGATCAACATGGTGGATCTGTATTGCTAGGAAACAATAAAGCTTGCAAGATTATAGGTGTTGGATCTGTGAGATTCAAGCTCCGTGATGAGTCAATAAAGTTGTTGACTGAAGTCAGGTATGTACCTGATTTGAAGATAAATTTGATTTCTCTTGGTAAATTCGACAAGAAAGGACATGTTTTCCAAGGAGAGAAATGTATCCTAAAAGTCATGAAGGGCTTGGTGATTAGGGAAACAAAATTTGCTTGATGGAGATAAATTTGAAAAGCTGGAATTTTGTGAACTCTGTGTACTTGGAAAATATTGTAGAGTGAAGTTCAACAAAGGAAAACAAAGAACACATGGATCCGTTGATTATGTTCATGCTGGTCTTTAGGGGTCTACAAGGTTTCCATCACATTCAGGAGCAAGGTATTTTCTATCCATAGTTGATGATTATTCTAGAATTATGGGTATTCATCCAAAAGACTAAGGATGAAACTTTTGAGAATTTCAAAAGTTGGAAGACTCTGGTCGAAAATCAAACTGGCAGAAAGGTCAAGAGGTTGAGAACTGACAATGGCCTTGAATTTTGAAATGAGGCTTTCGACATATTTTGTGTTTCCTCTGGTATTACAAGGCACAAAACTACTGCAGGTACTCCATAATAAAATGGTTTGGCTGAAAGGTTTATGTTGCGACTGGTTTTTAAATGAGAGTCGCCACTATTAGTTTTTATCCTAGGGAAGGGCATCTAATAGGAAACCCTAATTCGCAGACAGCGATTCTAGATTTCGGACTTCATTAGACGAAAGGAAGATGTTAGGAACCTTTCATCTACCTTGTTCACAAGGATACTAGGTTTTAGGTTTAACTTCGGGTGAAATAGGATTTTTAAATTTTAATAGGGGAACTCGCCACGATTTTTGATCGTATGCCTACGTATCCTCTTATGAGGAATCAAAGTCTCAATTCGTAGTTCGTATGGGTTTGTGTTTTTTATGGGTTGCAGATGTATTTTGAATCACCTCACATTTTGACCGGTTGTAGTGATTGCAGAGATTTTGGCTAAATACGCGATTAGAAAATCCGTTTGAAACCCTTTTGCAAAAAAAAAGTTGTTTAGATTAGTTTGCTGCGAAAAATAATTTGATATTTGTTGCGTATCTTTTAATCGTATTAATTGCAAAAAACTTAATTAATGCATGAGTAAAAAATACTTTAATGCAAATATATAACGAAATAATATATGAATTTTGAATAAAAATAATTTACATGTTAATATGAATAATACTATTTACATATAATAAATAATAATAATATAAGAATAAAAAGTACTAAATAATAATTATTATAAAAATTAATAAATGATAATAATAATAGTAAGAATAAATAAAAAATAATAATATATAAATAATAGATAAAAATAATATAAATAAAATAATAGAAAAAAATAATTTAATTAAAAACAGGGAGTGCGTTTTCAGTTAATAAGCAAAAGTAAAGGGGGGGGGGGGGGGGGGGGGCGCTAATAGTTAATGAGGGCTGGCCC